ATGCACAGTGAGGAGGTTTTCCTCCTCCTTCTGCACTGAAGCTGGGTCATAATTATAATTGTGACACTAAAACTGCTGAGTGCACCTTCTCCGGGACGGCGTGGGTTTGGGCCGGCGCCAGCCTTGGCTTACTTTGCTGTTTGCACAGATTTTACTGCGACGTCTAGATAAATGCATCTTTATAATTTCTACATTTGCCTACAGGTTAAAGACACGTCACTAAATCTTGCACGCGTTTGAACTGAATCAAAGTGACTCATTCTGGAGCTCCTGGTTGCTGATGGAAACCAGCGAGGACAGGTTCAGGCCTCTGTCAGGATGCTGTGAAGGATTAAAAATAAAAGAGCTGGTGGAACATCAAATGTCCAAACAAGCATCAGTCGGTGCTGCACTGGCTGGATGCTGCTAACCGACCTGGACATCATCTCCTACCGCTGACCTCGGTCTCTCTCGTTATTATTATGCAAACGGTCACAGCAGCCAATCAGCGATGATGAAGGCAGCGTGTGAGCGGTGGGATTCTGTGATCTGGGAGTTTTAACGTAAACTGGACAGAAACAGACTGGCAGCTTCTCCATCTACACGTTTTATGTATCTCAGCTCCACCTGTTGCAGTCTGAGCTGCTGGAGGACGAACACATTTAGTTTCAGGTTCAGTCCTACTGCTGCCTTTACAGGTTGGATGCTTTGTTTTGAAAGGAGTTCCTCAGCAGATTGGGCTTACATGTTTGTAATCTGTCTTCCAGCTTTGTTAGCTGCAGGCACGTTTAATGTTCACTCTACTGAACAAAGAAGGAACAACATTGAAGAGACGGCTGTTTGGTTGAAGGACACATTTTGGGATTAACGGCAAACCAACTGCCTCTGTTGGAGGACAACGGCGATCTGTTCGGACGCTCATGCACAGAACATAGGAATGCACTCACTGTACGTCCACTTCGAAGGTGGTGGGGATGTAGGTGGGGTGCAGCTGGTGCCAGCTGCAGTAGAAGCCTTTGGGGTAGGTGTTGGACCGACAGGTGACCGTGGGCTCCCGAGGAGGAACTACAAAGAACAAACAGGAGACAGAGGAGGACGGTTCACTGATGTGCACATTTATTTCAAACTACGGCAGAGAAATGAAGAAAAACCCCAGAAAGAGATCAAAGAACTACGCGTCACATTCATCAGATGTAAAGCAGCTGTTGGTCGTCACTCATCACCGCAGCCTGATTCATTCTCAATGAAGCTACGCTGAGTTTGAGACAAAATCAAATAAAACAACCTGAGAAAGAGTGATCAGGATCTGAGGAATGAGCATTACGTTAATCAAAGCGAGCAGCTGTGCCTAATTACACATCACCTTATTGCATAACTCAGTCCTGATCACATTTTCATTACAAACTCAGGACGTTGTGTCTGCGCGACTCGAGACACGCTTTCATTTATTTAGTTGTGGTTGCCTGCATGTGCTTTGTAGAGTTTTTACATTTTTAATTAGAATTTGATTGATAACGAGTCACTTCTAGACGTGCAGTCTGGATGTTATTCACATTTTCTTTTAACCTCATGATCAGACAACCTGACAGTGTGACCCTGATAGCTTCAGTCAGACTCTGGCGTTACCACAAAGTCCGGTTCAGCTCAGACCTCCGGCTGTGTGTGAACACCTTCTCATACAGTGAAGCTCTGAGGCTGCTGAGGTCAGGCATCATGCTGTCGGTTGTTCTGATGAAACCACCATCTCCTGAACGTATGGAGGGAATTTATTTAAATTTGGTACAAATGTCCACAAAGACAGATTCTGATGGAAAAGGTCAAACTGTGACTTCACAGAACAACATTTTCAGTCTCAGCCTTGACTGGACTGGTGGGTGGAGGCGTACGACACGGTGCTCCTTCTGGTTATTCATCGGCTGCAGAAGCTTCAGTTATTTAATGTAAAAGCTGAAAACCAAACACTGAACACCTGGATGACACAAAGAAAGGTGAAGAGCAGAAACGGAGGAATGGAAGACGCCATTTGGAAAAGGACGGTTATTGAAATGGTAAAGCAGAAGAAGAATAAAAAAGAGGCTGGCCCGAAAAGTGATGTTCCACCAACTGTGGCCTCCTCCAAGATTAGGCTCTTTTCTTCACGGCTAGTCGACCATGCACTCGTCGCCACTCCCTCTTCCTCCCCACAGCTTTCTGGCCCGTTCCCTCTGATACAGTACAAGTACAGTGTCCCATAACCAGCGCTGCTGTTAGTTCACTTATAAACTGTTCTTCACCCTCTAAAGCTCCCTGTTAAACCAATCGCCCTTGATTGTCGTCCATCTTCTCTTGATCTGAATCACAGCGTTTCCGTCCACACATGGCGCCTCGTTCAGACGGTCCATCTCTCTAACAGCACACGGCGCTGGCATCACTCGGCCACATATACTCACATATGACAGCTGATCTGATAACACCCACATTCAAACAATTGGAGTCCTTATTTATAGTGCGATCACGTTCAGTCCAGACATGGGAAAACCTTCACGAGCTGCCCAGCTGAGCCGGTTTGTGTCCCGTGAGGGGAACAGGATAGCGCCGAGTGTTTTCACAGCACAGGGCCTCCAGGGTGTGGCCAGAAAGGAGCTCTAGCTCCACCGACTACTGATGAAAAGACTGGATCTTTGAGCGATGTGGACAGAAAGGGCACATTTATTAGTTATTGTTTACTATGTTCAACACACTGGACATGTTTCAGATACGTGACGCTGGGAAAGCTCCGTTTGAGTTGGGACGGAGTGACCCAAAGCTGGAAGTTTGTCCCGGTGCCGACACTACGGTACCGTCTTTAATTAGAAAAAACAAACCAAACCCAACAGATAAAGAACGATAGCAGCAAAACAAGACAAAGACCGAACCATGTATATACTGTAAACTGCAAGTATTTTATTCTGTACAGAGAGGATCAATCATGTCGTCTCAATAATCTGAAAGTCAAGAACAAAGCTATCAGACATATGCAGGACTGTGCCAAAGCTTTAGGCGCTAAAAGCAGCTGGAAGTGAGGATACTTAGAGAAGTAATGTTATTATCAGCTACCTTTATACGAAGCACATTCATGTGTTCATCTGGTTGCAGAAGACCTTTCTTTATAACTCCTGGGGTCATGGTTTCACGCTGTACCAGGACCTCAGGACCTTCAGACGCCTCCCTGATGGGATTACACGATTCTAAAATGCCAAAGACCTTACCACAGCGCTGCACATTTAAACTTGTTTAGCGTAAAGAGCTCCGCTGGTTTTCACTGTCAATGAGCTAACAGTTAGCATTTAGGCTGCAGGAGCCAGAAGCAACCTTACCATAGTCACCTCCTGTCTCATAAAGTTTTAAACAACGAGTTTAAATGTTATAATCAGAAACAAGATGTCTCAGTCTGTCACATGCAAGTGGCACTTCTGCTTCTGCAGCTCGTTTTTTCCAACTAGAAGAGGTCTGTAGCTGCTGCGCTACGTCTGATTTATCTCCAGTGTTTGTCCCACCACTGATGATTAATCTGTAAACACAGGTTCAGGATAAAAAACAGTCATTTCATGGTTGTTCCAGCGCTTAGTGTGGTGCAGCTGCTCTCTACTGGCGTACGCTGGATGCTGAAGTTTTGTTTTCTGACATTAGTTTGATCTTTGACGGCTCAGCAGAAAGTCATTCACATCAAAAACACGTCATTGGTCACGCAGCAGCAGCGTCCCGTCTGATTGGGTCATCATCTGTAACTGTGAAGGTTCAACGTCTTTGTAGCATCCTCTGCTAACAGCTCCTCCAAGGAGTACACACACACACACACACACACACACACACACACACACACACACGCTGGCAGGAGGTATCACTTGATTGGCTGCGATGGGGTCATTCCACTGTCACACACAATCAGCTGTGTTTAAGCGGTCACCACGGCAACTAATTAGCCTGTCAATAATGTCTAATGATGAGGTGCCAGGGACGACATCCAATCACACTCAATTAATCACACAGACTAATTGGGGCCATCTCAATCAATTGGCTCCTCATCTGAGAGCTTCAGTCAAAGTCACGCAGACACAATGTCGGACACAAACATAGCAGCACACAGGAGCTTTGTAAGAATTAGCCATAATCAATCAGACCGGCTTGTTAGGAGCCCGGAGAAAAGCTCAAAGAGGCAGCCGGAGAGACAATAAAGGCAACGAGAGGAAGGTTAAAAGACATGAAAAGGTTCAAATTGGAGAAAGAAAAGAAGATGAGCGAGGACTGTTTGAGTGTTTACGTCTCTAATTCAGCTCATTTTTCCCAGATGTGAGCGGCGTTAATTAAAGTATCACTGAGACGCCAGAGAGGACCTGCTGTAGGAATCCTCAGAGGTCTTCATCGATCAGTACCAAGTGAGTCCACAGCACGAGGCCTTATGTGCACAACGAGGCAGGCGTGGACACCTGGACTACATGTCAGCTGTCCATTAGAGGCTGCTGGTCAAGTACAGCAACAGAAAAGAACAACTGAAAACACAACCTCCAAGTCCACATGGTTTACGTTCTACCACCGTCTGGTCAGGCTGGACCTGGGACGGGTCGCCATGAGAACAACAGCTCAGCCACTTTTCAACCAGAAAAGACGCCTGAGAGCAAATAAAGTGATTTGTTGGTTTAATATCAACACAAGTAACGGCAGAGGAAAGAAAAAAGGGACCAGTGTCTGAATAGTGGACGGAGGGAAACGAGGAGGTTAGAACCTGGGACCAGAATGGAGGCTGAAGACCGGATCTCCACGAGGTGAGCCGAAGGAGAGAGAAAATATATGAGAAGATAAAGGCGACGCATGAAACATGAAACAGCATTCTGTCATCAGACTTTCACTAATGCGCCCTTAGAAACAAAATTCAAACACGCAGCACGTTTCCAGACGAGCAGCGGCTTCAGTACGATCAGGACATCAAAGCTGTTCATGCATCGGCTGGAAACGGAGTTTGAAACAGAAAGAAGAGGGAAGAACAAGAGAAAAGCCCACCTGGAGCAAACAGAACTCAGAGAACAAAGCCTGTATGAATATTAAAGCAAATGAAACTATAATTGAAATTAAAATGACACTGTGCAGCTTGTTTTGGTTTTTGTTGTTTTGGTGAAGCCGAGCCGGCGGCACACGACTCATGAATACATGTGACTGAATCAGCTTTCATCATCTGGGCTGAATCGCTAAATCAGATGTGGTTTTGAAGACGCTCTTTTGTCGCCTCATGAAACACACACCTGCACACGTGCACGTACACGAGCGGTGAGCGAGGTTACTTTTAAATGGTAATAGGTCAGAGATGGGACTTGTGGCAGACGGTGGTTATAAATGCTAATGAGGGCAGAAGAGAGGAGGAGGTTCAGGGAAGATGCAGGCTAATCGTCAGAGCTCCACTGTTGCTGGCAGATAGGTTAATTATCATTAATCATTCTGTCAAAAAGTGGCCACAACTGCAACCCAAACACGGGCCGGTGTGGCTTCGGTACATTTGGATCTCTTGTTTGGATTTTATATGTCATCTTGCTCGCTGCTTCTTCACTCAGTACGTCAGAGCATCGCTAAGTTCAGTCACGTGTTTTCTGAGTGCTTCAGCATTTCATTGGCTTCTGAGGTTCAGGTGATGTTCAGCCTCCACCAACACCTTCCTCAGTCCTGGTGTTACATGAGGAAGAACAGGAAGTGGAGCCATTAGCTGGACGCCCCAGATGACACGTTTCACTGATGATGTTTATATGCAGACAGCAGAAGGAGGAGACATGCATGTTTCATATGAAGTCCTCCTGCAGCACATGCTTCGATCAGGGAACAGCATCGAGCATAGAACAATATCTGGCAGCAACTTTAAACGGATCAGACGACACAACAGTCCTCATGTAGTTAACATCCAACCATCCTGCAGCAGCAGCTCATCGGAGCTCCTCCACTCTGCACCACTATTCTGGACCTGTCACACAAAAATTCTGGGTCTCGCAAAAGAGGATCTTTGTCACAGGAGGGCACGCACACACACACACACACGCACACACACACACACACACACACACACA